TTTCTCTCTCTCTCTCTCTCTCTCTCTCACTCTCTCACTCTCTCTTTAAAAAAAAAAAAGAAAGAAAAGTAATTTGGGCTGGGGATATAGCTCACTTGGTAGAGCGCTTCCCTCAAATGCACAGGCCCTGGGTTTAATCTCCACAAAAAGAAAAAAAAAAAAGGAATTCAAAGTTAAGAATACAAAATGCCTGTAGCCACTCAAAGCTGGAGAACACAAAATAGGAGAGAAGGAGGGAACACCAGAGTGGGAAAGAAATTGGGTACAAACGTATTTCACTTTTCCAAACTGTGCAGAAACACATAATCTTGTGAACACAAGGCCAGGGTCCTTTCTAGGGTGTGTGCTATGTGAGGCCCCTGCTGGGCACATTGGAGCCAAGTGTGAAACCTCCACAGGAGATGTGGGGGCTCTGAAGCAAGAGCAGGTTCGGAGGTCATGTGTCCAACCACCTGCCAAGGAAGGCCTTTCTCCCAGTTTCCAAGCTGAAACTGAATCCAGACTCCTTGTTCTTCCCTGTGGCCACGTCCTACGAGCCAGGTTGCTCCACTAGGCTGTTCAGGGATCCTCACTTCCAACTTGTGAAAGCCTCCTTTGCTTTCCAGGTTTGAAGAGCCAACTTCTTAAGCCCCTCAAAGACATCGCTGCCTGCCCTTGCCTCCCTAGGCAATGCCGGGTGTGCATGCCACCCTTCGGTCAGTGTAGAGTTGTTGCTGAGCCCCGCAGTGCAGTGAGGGCAGATGGACACATCCTCAGCCCTCCCTTGGCAGCCAGGCCTGTGCTAGACCTAGCCCCAGGTCCAGCCCTTTGCTAACTCACAATCTGGTGGTCAGTTAAGACATGAACTGAAACTCAACAGTTTTAGGGCTAAAAAGAACTTAGATTTCATCTGGTCCAAGTGGCCATCGAACTCAACCACAGAAGCCCCATGTGGGAAACAGGAAAGCAGTGTTGTTCTGAGAGAGGCAGCAGGCACGGGGGTGGAGGGAGCAGATCTGTGCTTGGCCTCCCCACTTCCTGCTCCCTGCTTGATTTCTCCCAAGGCTTCTAAGGAACTATAAGTTGGAACCACTGCTCTCTCTCCAGCTCATTGCTTCAATAGCTGAGAAAACTCAGGCCCGGCAAGGATAAAAGACTTGGCCAAGGTCACAGAACTAAGGCAGGATTCAGATGCAGGTCTGCTTAACTCCAGGTCAAGCTCAGCCTTCATGCCGGATGATGAGGGCTGAAACATCCCTTCCCACCTTCCCTGCTTGCAGAGCTGAGTGGCAAAGAGAAGCTCAAAGGGGTTCCCAAAGCCTTTGGGAGTGGGACAAAAACGAAGGGACTTGTCTGGAGCCCCCTCACTGAAATGAGGACAGGAGTTGGACTTTTATCTTTTTTTGTTCACTGTTTATCTTCAGTCTCAGCACACACATTGGCATGCTGTAACAATAAGTGTGGTCAAATTAATGAAGGGGAGGCAGCAACTCAGGGTAGGGGGACCTTGTCAGGAGGTCATCCTTCCAGGTGGACCTCACCTACCTCTGGGTGTGCCTCCAGATTCCCTGGAGTGGAAATCAGGCTGGCCTTCCTTCTGGTCTCTGTAATAATTCTTAGTTTGAAGCCGAATATGCAGGTGCCAGCCTGTAATCCCAGCAACTCAAGAGGCTAAGACAGAAAGATGGCCAAGTTCGAGGCCAGCCCCAGCAACTTAGTGAGGTCCCAAGCAACTTAGTTAGACCCTGTCTCAAAATTAAAAAATACAAAGGACTGGGGATGTAGCTCAGTGGTAAAGCGCACTTAGGTTCAATACCCTGTACTGGGAAAAAATATTAAATAAAAAAATCTTAGCTTGGCTGCTTCTTCTTCCCTTTCTGTTCAGAGCACAGTCCTATTGGAAGAAGCTGTTGTGCGACATTGGACATCACATCCCATCTCTGAGGCTCTATTTCCTTATTTGTTAAAAAAATATGTACTATAAGCTGGCATGGTGTGCACATCTGAAATTCAAACAACTCTGGAAGCTGAGGCAGGAGAATCACAAGTTCAAGGCCAGCCTGGGCAACTTGATGAGAACCTGTCTCAATTTTTTTTTTTTTTTTTTTTTTTGGTGCTGGGAATTGAACCTAGGGGGCACTCAGACACTGAGCTCCATCCCCAGCTCTTTTTAAATTTTATTTAGAGACAGGGTCTCATTGAGTTGCTTAGGGCCTCACTAAATTGCTGAGGCTGGCCTTGAACTCACAATCTTGCCTCAGCCTCTGAGCCACTGGGATTACAAGCATGGGCCACAGCGCCTGGCACTGTCTCAAATTTTTTAAAAAGGCAGAGGATGTACCTCCGAGGCAAAATGGGTTCAATCATTAACACAACAAAAAGTCAAAAAGATCTCAATTTGGATATCAGGTACACTGGTAGTCCCAGCTACTCCAGAGGCAGATGCAGGAGGATCTCTTGAGCCTAGGAATTCTGGGCCAGCCTGAGCAACATAGTGAGATCCAGCCTCTTAAGTACAAAAGACTCACTTTGAAGTGTTTTTAATTCATTCAGTTAAAATGTTTACTAGAAATTTTGACAGATAATGGGTGGTTATCAGTGAGAGTCTTCCTTGACACCTTGCCTCCCTCATTTATGTCCCTCCTTCAGGAGCCAGTTCCAGAGCCCTGCTTCAGTGAGGAGGGAGTATGATAGTGTGATAGGCAGATGAAGTATAAAGGATGGACAGAAGGACTAGGAATGGAATAAGGACGCTAGTGCAAAATGTGGCCAATAGGTGGCAGCAGCGTCTGAGAAATTAGCTGTCCTCTGTAAGCCTATCCTAAATTTCTTTAGGCCAAACTCTTTGACCATGTTCACGTGTACCAACAACAGGAGTATAATTGAATGTGTGCACTGTGGGAGTAGAGTGTATAAAGAGCACATGTGTATGTGTATGTGAGATATATGCATTTAGGGGTCAACAGCCAGTCTATGCACAAGAGCAGAATACACCCAAGCTGTGGAGTGTGTGGGAATGTTTGTGCATACAGTCAATACAGTCAGGTGTGTGGGTCTGTTTACATGTGACTACATGGTTCATGTGGAACCCTCTAGTGCAGAGTCGCTTGAATTTTTGGGTCCTGGACCTCTGGAGCATCAAATGAAGTTTCATGATCCTGCAGTAAGATGCACAGTTCATGCCCTATTGCAGAGGGCTCTAGAATCATCTATGGGACTCTGGGACAAAGAAATTCCCCAAATGTTAATAGAAGAGGAAATGTGCATGAATTTTTTTCTTTTATCCATATTTGCCAGAATTCTAAGTTTCTATAATAGTACATATTAATTTAATACGGGACCAAGAAACCCCAAAAAATGTTATTGAAGAAAAACAACCCAATGTTCCTTTCCACTGATCTTTCCCTTCCCCCTCGGCAGCAGCAGGGTTCCACATGCCTGGTGATGGTGATGTTCTCAGTAGCCTACTGAGAAAGAGCAGGTCTTGGTCAGGGGGTGAGGGTGGGATTCCTGATAGCAATTGTAGAAGATCCAAGTAGATATCCAATGGTGCAGCTGGAGCAATCAGAGAAGTCTTCCTGGAGGCAGCTGACCTCAAAGGGTAATCATGTTGGCACAGGACAGGAATCTACCCTTCCCACTCCACTTTTCTGAGAAGTGCCCTCTTGAGCTGGGCTTTGACAGTGCTCTTCCTATAGTGGGTCCCCTCATCCCTTCAGGGAGATTGAGGTTTCAAGCAGGCAAGTCTGAAATTAGATTCCTGGAATCTCCCACTGGGAAGGGGCCTGAGAGGTCATCTGGATTTTCCAGGGAGCTATTGAAAATTAAAGGCAGAATGTGTTTTCCCTATTAATAATACTGCACCCTAGTTACCATGCACAGCAGTTGTCTCAGAAGAGTCCTGGTTATAATAATTATTTATCCCATTTTACAGAAGGGCACAGTGAGGCCCAGAGTGTGTTTTCCTCAGGAAACACACAAAGGTGAATAAATTTTTTAAAAAGCATTCTACACACACACTTGCAGGAACAGTGGATATTCTCACATATGCTATGCACACACACACACACACACACTCTCACACTCATCTTCAGGACCATCCTTCCCAGCCTTAGTGGGAGCTGCTCTGGGAAGAGCTGCCAGGCCTCCAGGACATCCTCTTGATCTGAGCTCCTTTCTAATTGGGGTGAGACCAAACAGTCAACACCCAGCCCACACTGGGCAGCCTGGTGGCCCTGCAGTGCCCCTGCCACAGTCTGCACTGAAGCGTGGTGCCCATCACCTTGAGGCAGGCAGGCCCTGGATGGGCAGCCCTGGCAGGCCTTCCCTAAGGCTGGGTCTCTGAGGGGAAGCTGCCCCAGATGGCAGGAGGGGCTCCAGCCCTGGGGGGCTGCTAGGGAGGCATACCCGGGTCAGGCAGTGATTCCTCCCCGGAGAGTTACCTCCTAACCATCAGCAACAGCATTCAAGGATGCCAAGAGAGTGGAGAAGATCTCTAATTCCCTCAATGCACAGGCGACTCTATGGCCAAAGGCAGGGTCACTGAGGAGCAGGGGGGAGAGAAGGGAGGTGGAGGCTGGAGAGGGAAGAGGGAGCTAGAGGGAGCCTCAGAGACATGTCGGCTGGGGGTGGAGGGAAAGGGACCAGATGGGGGAGCAGGGAAGAGGAGGAGGCATGTGGAAGGTAGAGGCGGGCTGGGGAGTAGCAAGGCCTGGGTAGCCTGCCATAGGCTCTCGGGCATCATGGCAGCTGTCTGTCCCTTTAGACCAGGTCTTTTTTTTTTTTTTTTTTTTTTTTTTTGTACTGGAGATTGAACTCAGGGGCACTTGACCACAGAGCCACACCCCCAGCCCTGTTTCATATTTTAGTTGCCATCAGGGTCTCACTGAGTTGCTTAGTGCCTCACCATTGCTGATTCTGGCTTTGAACCTGTGATCCTCCTGCCTCAGCCTCCCAAGCCACTGGGATTACAGTGTGCACCACCGCGAGGCTAGAGCAGGTCTTCAGAACCATGCCGCATCTTCCTGAGGCAGGTCCTGAGCTCGGGCTTCCTCCACTGTGAGCAGGCAGGTCTGTCACCTCGCCAGCCTGGGGCCCCCTCCCGATGGGGCCACAGAAGGTAAACGAAAGAAGCACGCAGAAATGTGGACACTGAGAACAGTGCTTGCTTTATTTGGGAAATCAAAAGTTTGGGTCCTGATACCAAGATGGGATGTGGAGTGGGCCAAAGGTCAGGTGGGAAGCAAGCTTCATTGACAACATGCCTGCCTCCTTCAGCCCCCAAGAGACAATCACAAACATCAGCGTGCCGGGCGTGTTCTGTCTCTGGACAAATGTCCAGTGGATTTACCAAGAGATGTCTTTCTGAGATCAAGGAACATGAGGGAGATACCTCAGTTCTCTTTCAGAAGGGCAGAGTCCTCAGAATCTATCCACTCCCACCTCTGCCTTTCAAGTGTGCAGAGGCCCAGAGAAGACAGAGGCCTACCCAACATCACAGAGCAAAGAATGGAGGACAAAGAGTCAAAACCACTTGTCCTCTTATCTTGTGATTCATTCCAAGAGGAGATTCTAGAAGATGACTCCCAGTGTCACTTTCACTGACACCCACCAAGGGACTCCATCTCCATGACTCAAATATTCAGGCCCAAAATCCCAGGCCAGGGCCAGAAACTCTTCTTCCCTTCCAGGATTTCTCTCATTGTTGGGTCCCTGGAAGGGACTAAATAGGACCGTCACATACAAGGAACCGGTAAGTAAACACACTCTTGAAAATCCCTTCTTCCGTGTAGGCTGTCCCTCCTTCTGAAACTCAAGGAGATGGTTACAAGAGGTCTTTTGCTCCCACCTATGGCATTAAGAAATACGGATTGGAGCAGGTAAAACTTAAAACACTAGACTTTTTTAAAAAGTTCCATCCGTTGAGCCTTCACCACGCACCAGGCTCACCATTCATCCACTCGGTAGAGTCACTTATGATGGACCTGTTTGCATTTGCTGGAAACTTTTATGACCAAAGCAGACAGGCCCTTCACTCTCAGCCTCTATCTAAATCTTGCCAATTTCTTTCCAGGTACGTGTTAGCTTTCATGATGGAGGAAATGGGCTCAGAGTGAAATGTCTTGCTCAAGACATCTCACAACAAAGACATAGCAGGCAGTTGAAAAAAAAATATATAATGACGGAACACATCAGGCTTCCAAAGCAGGAAGGGATGGATGGGGCTGTTCTGGGGGCAGCTGGCGTGGGCAGAGGAGGTGATGGGGCAGTATGTGCTGCCAAAGGTACTGAGCCATAGAACCCGGCACGGGGAATGCTCTGTCCATGACCAGATGTGAGATTTGCAGGGAGCTTCTGTGTCATCACTGAGTGATTCCTCTTGGGAGGCTGAAGGAGGAGAGCAGGGGAAGTAGACTTGATACATCTAAGATGGACCCTAGCCGGGCCAATCACTGACAAGCCATGTGGCCTTGGCAAGCCATTTCCTCCCCTGAGCTTCAGTTTCCTCATCTGTGAAGTGGAGGTAATAACAATAATAACGTCTACCTCGAATCAGGCTGGGATCATTAATGAGTTGCTCTATGTATCTGGGCACAGTTAATTGTGTCTGTCATCTACTGTAGCATCCCAACAGCCCTTCACTGAGGTGGCGTGTGTAAAGGTGATTTGCACTCTGGAAAAGACTATGCATCAGGTGGGGCTCAACCCTGGTGATGGTACTGGAGCTAGACCCTGGGCCACCTCCCAGCTCTGCACTCTATAGCATCCGTATGTGCATTTTGAATGGTTTTACCAGCCCCTCTGTAAACTCTGGTTTTGAGTCCCCAAGCTGCCTGCAGCCAGAGCTCCACCCAGCTGTCCTGGTCTCCTGACTCCCATCCGCAAGTTCAGAGTAGGGAACTAGGTCCTCACTCTCTTCTATCACCCCTTCCAGCTCCTAGCACTACCTGCTTGATGCCTGGAAGTGAATAACAAACAAATAAACAATGAAAGAAAGCTGTGTGTATATGTCTTATATTTGAGCAGGTATATGGAGCCAGGAATAGGGTGTATCACTTCCTAGGGGCTTTGGAGTCTCTGAGGCTGGTTCCTAGTCCAAATCTGCAGCAGTTGGTAGGCTCTAGGCTTGAGACCTGACACTGATACAGAGAACAAGGGCTGGTCTTTGGACTGAGACTGAGTAGATACCCAGCAGGTGCCCAGCCTGGACTCTTGCTTTGCTGCTTCAAGAACTCTCCAGAGGCTAATAAGCCCTCTCCGCCTTCAGGCATTTCAAATTCCAAACCAAATAAACCTTGTAACAATTGCCTCTGGCATCCACATAATTATTAGAGAACATCCCTGCACTGGGGACCTATCATGCGCCAGGTACTTTGGTACACACTTGGCTTGCAATATCTCAGCTTTCAGAGGGGACTTGGAGAGGTGTAGTGACTTGCGTAAGATCACACTGCCAGCGAGTGGCCAACCATTCAGCAAAACCAGGAATCTTATTAGAGATGGACCATCTATTACACACTGACCCATCCCTTGTCTTAGATCCAGGAGGAAACAGAAGCACAGAGAGGGCAAATCCTCTGCCTAGCTCACACAGACATTTAGCTTCAGGGCTGAGACTTGAAGCCAGGTTCCAAGGCTTCCTGGCCATGTAGGAGAGTGAACTCGAGGGCTCTGGTTTACTCCTATTATCCTCTGCCCTCCCCACCCCCAGCCTCTCGAATGACACTTGACATTATCCATCACTCCCTCCCCCTGGGAACGCCTTCCTCCTCCAGTTTCCATGGCAGCGTATTTCCCCATCCTCCTCCTGCTTCTCCAGCAGCTTTTCACTCTCCACGGTAGCTCCTGAGCCTAGGAAGAGTGGGGATCCCCATGCCAGGACACCAGTCTCTTCTCTCTTTTCATTGCTACCCCTGAAATCCCGTCCACTTTCCCTGAGGAGTCTTTAGCTCTGACTTTGCAGTTCAGCTCCAGTTACTTATTGTGCTAAGAGCATCCTTATGTGATGGACCCTATGGTTACACCTGTACATGCATTATCTCATTAAATCCTCACAACCACCACTGGAAGGAAGCCCACTCTACAGATGAGGAAACTAAGGCTCATAAAGGGAAAGCCAAGACCTGATTCCAGCCTTATCCACTACTTTTATTACATCAAGAAGATACGTGAGGGGCTGGGATGTGGCTCAAGCGGTAGCGCAGTCGCCTGGCATGCGTGCGGCCCGGGTTCGATCCTCAGCACCACATACAAAACAAAGATGTTGTGTCCGCCAATAACTAAAAAATAAATATTAAAATTCTCTGTCTCTCTCTCTCCCTCTGTCACTCTCTCTTTTAGGAAAAAAAAAAGAAGATACGTGAAACTGTAGGACATTTTTATTTATTGGTACTGGGGGTTGAACCCAGGGGTGCTTTAACACTGAGGTATACCCCCAGGCCCCCCTTTTTTATTTTAATTTTGAGATGAGGTCCTGCTGAGTTGCAGAGGCTGGTATCAAAATTGCAAATCCGCCTCCCTCAGCCTCCCAAGTCACTGGGATTACAGGCATGTGCCTCCACGTCCAGCCAACTATAGGACATTTTTAAACCAGGAGCAAAAGCTTCCCTTCCATCTCTTAGAGAATGAGCAATGAAAAATTAGGGGGGTAGAGACCTACTCTGCAGTTTTCAGAACCCTGTGATGATCTAGAATTACACTGTCAATTTGGAGCTTTAGAATGTATCACACACAGTACATTTTGAAATGTGAAGATTTAGAGAGCTTCGGGAGGAACAAAAGTTCATGAAAATTTGCCCTTTTCCTTCAGACTTTCCCATTTTGTTTCAAGTCTTCAAAAACCTCATCCCAGGGTTCCAGATCCTGATGTCTTTCTACTTTAATGATGCCTGGAATTAACTGCAAACTTGGACCCCGGAACTTTTCTTGGAATTCCACTGACCTGAGTTCTGCAGCTGTTAACAGGCTCCGTGACTCAGGAGCAAGTGGCTTGATCTCTCTGAGCCTTGGCTTTCTTATCTAAAAGAGGAATAATACTACTTCCCCGAATGGGCAGTCACAAGGACCAGCTGGGATAAAGTGCATAAAGCATTTGGCAGTGAGCCTGGAATGTGGACGTGCTCAGTCAAGTCCTGTGCTCCTGCTGCACCAAACTTCTTGGGTTTGCCAAGCACTTGAACATCCCTGTGCTTTCCCCCCCTCCCCCTTTGGTACCAGGGATTGAACTCAGGGGCACTCAACCATTGAGTCACATCCCAGCCCTATTTTGTATTTTATTTAGAGACAGGGTCTCACTGAGTTGCTTAGTGCCTCACTTTTGCTGAGGCTGGCTTTGAACTCGTGATCCTCCTGCCTCAGCCTCCTGAGCTGCTGGGATTACAGGTGTGCGCCACCATGCCTGGCCCCGTGCTTTTGCACTCACTGTTCCCTCTTCTTGGTGACCAGCTCCTACTCATCCTTTAGGGCCCCTTGACACCTTCCCAGCTCTTATAGAATTGTTTCAAACAAGTGTTTTTAGTAAAAAGCTAAAAAAGACACTTCCTGCAATGCCATCCCTGGTGATCCCTGTCGCTGTACTTATCAGTGACATGCAACTACCTGTTTATGCTTTGTCTCCCAGCATTGGCTCTGAGATTTCTGAGGGCAGGGTCAAGCCCGACATTTCCCTGTCCCAGTGCCCAGAGCGCACAGCCTAGCAGGAAGTAGATTTCAACACAAGTGTACATTTCCTTAAATGCACACAGTCTGGGTCAGCCCCTGCTGACCTAGAACAATTTTATATCAAAGAGATAAAAAGCAACCAGATCTGTTATACCCACAGGGGGTGGCAGTGAGTGGGCTTGAAGCAGCTTTGAGACAGGCCTCTTCTGAGTGGGGGCAGAGAAGACACAGTCCTTGCAAGATGAATAAACAGCCCTGACTTCTCTGTCATCTATTTCAGGAGTCTTCCCTAATTCCTGAATTGTCCCCTTTCTCTGCCATTTCCCCAAAGTAGGAGATTCCCAAATAATTAGGAGTATCCAGGTGCCCCTGCCTTGCTGATCACCCCCCATTCACACATCCCCTACACATTCAAATGGAAGTCTCTATGGTCACAGGGTCCATTCAGTTGGTGAGGTGAGCTAGGAGGCTTGAGACCCCAGGTCATGGTGGCTTAGCAGGCTGATCTGAGCGGTGACCACTGCCTTGCATCCTAGGTCCCAGGGGATCCATTTCCTAGAGGAAGAATACCCCCAGGTCCAAGGCTTCTTCACCCTAAGAAGGGCTGCGCTTTGCCTACCGAAGGGACTCTTACCCCTGTGCACAAAGTGCACGAAGCCCTTCTTGGTGCCCAACCCTCTCCCCCGAATGCTACTTCAGTGCCTGTTGGAGTGACAGCCTCCAGCCTTTGTTCCAAAGAAATGGCTGTCAAAGGGGAAAGAGGTATATTGTTTCTTTCTCTTTTCTTTTTTTGTTTGAGACAAAGACGTCAATTTCTTTCCATCTGTCCCAAAAAAGGAAGAAAATTAAATTTGTTTTTACAAGGATGTCACCAGGCTGCTTCAATAGGGAGTCAGGGGTGCATTGCTGAGGCAGTCAGACAGTGTCTAGGGGGGCGGGGGAAGAGGAGGCCCAGAGGATGGGTAGCAAAGACAGACCCTGCCTGGGGAGAAGGGAAGCAAAGATCTGGGATATCTGAAAAGATTTCTATGACCATCTTTAGGTGAACCCTGCCCTCAGTAGCTTGAAGGGGGAGCTGGATGAATTGAATTAGGTCAGGGACCTTGGATCCTTGGGGCAAAAGGAGAGAGGATCATGGCCAACACTAGCATTGCAGTTACGAAAGTCACTTTCCCCCAGTTCCTTCCAAGTCAGGCCCCATGTGGGCAGTTCCAGTTCACTAGTCACTGGCACCAGATACCTGGGTCACAGCCAGATGCTGGGAGGAGGGGAAAGAATATTGGGGTGCTTATCAGAATTCCAAGCATCTGCACTTGTTCTTCTGGCAACCCCCAGCCCAGTTCCAGTGGCACTCACCATGCATGGAGCTATCATTAGATGGCCCTCTGTTTTCCAGTACTGGACCACAAATGCCAGGACCCTAGGGTCCCTGTAAAACATCCAACTTCAACCCTGAGGGCCTAATTTCACAGCAGAAGCCTTACCTCTCTGTCTCAGCCCACCCACCGCTGCCCCTTGGCACAGAGGTCCACTGAAGCTGGGTGCAGCACCCAGCCCTTCTTGCTTTTTCCTGAGCCTTAGGGCTCTGGGGACCCTGTCCCAACCAAGGCCCCGTTTCAGCCGTCTTTGATGGAACAGCTATCCCGGCTCCACCATCCTGTCCCAAAACCCCACTGGAAGTTGGTATTGTGGCCACTACTTCAATTGTGGAGCTGGATCTCTGAACCACTCCATGGAAATTAATGTCCAAGAGAGAAAGTACATTATTTCTCTCTTTCCTTCTGTTTGTCTTGTATTTTCTTTATCTATAAAGAAGTTGAAGGAAGATCTCAAGGAGTCCTGTCCCTTGCTAGAACAGGGGTGGGACTCCACCCAAAATTTGAGGTTCCAGATAGTGCATACAGGCCCTCCTATCTCGTCGTAACTGATTCTCCAGCAGCATCCTGCCTCACTCTGCGGTACCCCCATTTCCTCCTGGGAGAGGATCCTCTACACAATGCACATGCCCAATCTTGCAGCTCAAGCCACTGTCCCCACCACTGGATCCTGGGCCCAGAATCCTAAGGTCTCAGGGCGGAACCCAATAGATGTTCCACTCGGGGTGAGATAGAATTCGAGGTTGTCCCCAACTCTCCACCCCGCTGGAGAGGCCTTATTAAGGGGCTCGGTTCTAGAGCTGCAGGCCCCGCCCTCCACTCCCAATCTGGAGCCTTCCACCTTGCACCCAGCGCCGAGGCCCACCCGACTGCACAGGCTCCACCTCGCGGCCGCTGGTGGCCTCAAGTCCCATGCTCTTCTCCAAAACAGAATCCGACCTTCTACTGCCCCATTTCGAATAGTGGTCCCCGCTTCCCAGGGGGCTCAGTGTGACCGCCAGGTCATTTCGGAGGAGCGCGCGGGGGCCAGCCAGGACTGGTCAGGCGGCAGCGCCACCACCCGGGCCGACCGATTGGGTGCAAGCGGTGACACGCTCGCGGGCGGTGGCTTCCCGGGCGCGGCTGAAGCTGGCTGGCTCCGGGCGGCAGCAGGGCGTGCGGCAGAGTTGGCGGAAGCAGCGCTTGAAGTTCTCGTCGAGGAAGGCGTAGAGCACGGGGTTGAGGCTGCTGTTGGCGTAGCCCAGCGCGATGCACAGGTGCAGAGCGGCTACCACTAGTGGGTCGCGCCGGTCGATGTCCACCAGCGTCCAGACGATGACGAAGATATGGATGGGCGCCCAGCACACCACGAAGGCGCCCACCACCACCAGCACCATACGCGTGATGCGCCGCAGGCTGCGGTCCTTCTCCTTGGAGCCTGACAGGAGGCGCACGCTGCGCAAGCGCAGCAGCATGAGGCCATAGCACACTGTGATGATGAGGATGGGCACCACGAAGGCGAAGAGGAACACGCAGATCTTGGTCACCGTGTCCCAGTACCAGCTGGGGCTGGGAAACTGGAGCATGCATACCACCGCCCCATCTGCGATGGGAAAACAAGGGGAGACAAAGAGGCAGTGAGGGGTCTGTGCACCTCAGGGGCTCTGCCTGCTGGTCACACCTTCTGGGCTTGGTCAAGCGCCACCACCTCCTCCTGGTTGCTTAAGGTGACTCTTCTGCCAGTCACTGTGACAAAGCCCACACATTCCCAAACTTGCTCCAGTGGTTCTGCAATGCTAAGATTGACTAACAAAGCATGAGTTAGGAGCAGGACTCAAACCCTGCCACGTGAGATGTGCCTGTGATCCCAGTAACTTGGGAGGCTGAGACAGGAGGATCCGTGAGTTCAAAACCAGTCTCAGCAATTTAGCGAGGCCCAAATCAACTCAGTGAGACCCTGTGTCTAAGCAAAATACAAAATAGGGCTGGGGATGTGGCTCAGTGGTAGAGTGCCCCTAAGTTCAATCCCTGGTACCTCCCCCTAAAAAAAAAAAAGCGTAGGAATCAGGCCCTGACTGTGTACACTGTGACCCTGGACAAATTACTTACCCTCTTCATGCTTCTGCAGAGTGTAACTTGCAGGATTATCATAAGGATTAAATAGGCTAAGGGATTTAAGACATTTAGCACAGTGGAGTTCAAGTGCTTAAACAGAGCACAGAGACCAGGGGTAAATACATACAGGAGCCCACAGACTGAGGCTAGAACCAGCTTCCCTGGAGGGAGACAGATCCCAGCTAATGTCAAGAAGAACTTCCTAAGCTGGGGATGTAGTTCAGCGGTAGAGTGCTCGCCTACCATGTGGAACCCTGGGTTCCGTCCCCAGTACCACAAAAAGATTTTCTGACAGCCATACCTGCCCAAAGATAGGAAATGGACCAAGAAGGGAAGGAGCTCCCTGTTCCTGGAGTGTGGGCCTGGGCTTCATTAGCATTTTGGATTCTGATGCAGGCTTGAGGCTGGTCCAGGAGACTCCCAAGATCTCTTGGAGCCACACAATAGACTTGAAGACTGGGAGTTATAAGAAAGGGACTGGGGACCCACAAAGTGGTTTGCAGGACATCAGGCTGCCTGGACTCCTAGATGACTGAGTCCAACCTTCATTGTTCAGATAGCAGAACCAAACTCAGAAGGGAATAGCACTTCTTTAAAACCAAACAGGAAGTAGCACGTAGAACCCACAAGTGCTAATGGCACACACAGTGTGTGTGTGTGTGTGTGTGTGTGTGCGCGCGCGCGCGTGTGTGCAGTAAGCCCCCAGCAGGGCAGTAGTTAATGGCTTATGAACTAAAGGCTAACAGTGAGGAATGGGGCCCTGCGGCTAAAACCAATCACTAAGAGGCTATATGTGCACCAGAGTGTCTGTCTTATGTCTGTCAAGATTCCCATAAAGCCTGCTCCCCTTTCACCCACAGCACCAAGCCTTTGCAAACCTCTACCCAAAGTGCCAAGAGGAGCAACCGATCTGAGTGCAGGAACTTTGGGTTGTGGCCCAAGTTCCACCCAATGAGCCCTACGTAAACCATCTGACCTCTCCAAGTTGTCTTCCGGTTGAATGGAGGTAGGAGTCCCTGCCTTGTCTAAAGGCTTCATTCATCATTTAACACCTGCTATTTACTGGGCCTTGGCAATAAGCCAGTCCTTCGCTTAAGTGGTTTTTTTTTTTTCATATTACCTCATTTAACCTTTCCACACTCCATGATAAATATGGCTCAGAGAGGTTAATTAGTTACTAATGTCTTTGGCACCCTTCAATACTACATTTCCCACTTCCTTATATCAAGGTGAGGTCATGTGACCATCTAGCTATCACCAGGAAGACATAGGCCATAGCACTGAAAAGTGGTTGTGCTTTCTCCCTGCTCCTTCTCCATGTTCATCTGCCAGCCTGAGGCCAGCAGAAGAAGATTCAGGAACCATCGGTGGGAGACTGGATCTCTGAGTAACTGTGCTCCTCTTACTCATGGTATATTGTGATGTGAATGAGAAATAAATTTCTGAAGTGTTAAGCCCCCAAGCTTTGCAGACTGTTTGTTATAGCAGCTAGAGTAACTAGTACAGTTAGTAACTAAAGTGATTCCCATTTTATTCTAAGGAAAAGCATCTATCATTCTCTTAGGGCGATTTTCTAGGCCTAACTTTGGTCATCTGGCCAATAGTTTTCAAAGTGGGATAGAAGAGAGTTTGGGATGGGACTGCAAATCTTGTAGCCTCCACTGCTCATTGGTCAATGACACCTCACCCCACTGGCCATCATCCATTTCCATAGAGGTCAATCATCCACACAGTCCTGGCCAGCCACCTACGTGAACGTAGACCAGCCATCCACAATCCCAAATTCCATTTGGCACTGGGCATGGTGTCATGCCTGTAACCCCAGCAGCTTGGGAGGCTGAGGGAAGAGGATTGCGAGTTGGAAGCCAGCCTCAGCAAATTAACGAGGCCCTAGCAATTCAGGGAGTCCCTGTCTCAAAATAAAATATTTTTTTAAAAAAAAGGGCTGGGGATGTGGCTCAGTGGTTAAGCACCCTTGGGTTCAATGCCCAGTATCCCTGTCCCCCCAAAAAATCCAATTTGGCCAGCAATCTATTTGAGCCCTGAGCAGTCATTCATCTTCATAATATTCAACATCCACATTGCTCCTTGGTCAACAATTCCACTCCCACTGGTGGACCTTCCACCCTCCCACTGGCCAGCCATCACACCTCCTTTGCTCCACCAACCACTCCTCCACTGGTGAGCCACCTCCACTCTTCCTGGTAGCTGCCCTGGGGACCCATGGGGGCCCACATGCTGCCTCCTGCAGTCAGAGGCCTGTGCCACAGCTCCCTCCCTCACTCACCCCGGGGTCGGGTCACAGCCATGACCATGATGGGGACACCAACACCTGAGGCCAGGACCCAGATGCAGATGTTGATCAGCTTGGCCTTGGCAGGTGTGCGGAAGTCCAGGGCCTTGACGGGGTGGCAGACGGCGATGTAGCGGTCGACGCTCATCATGGTGAGAGTGAAGATGCTGGTGAACATGTTGTAGTAGTCAATAGAGAGCACAGCCTTGCAGAGCAGCTCCCCGAAGGGCCACGTCTCCATCAGGTACTTGGCACTCTGGAAGGGCAGTGTGCTGGTGGCCAGCGCATCAGCCAAGGCCAGGTTGAAGATGTAGATATTGGTGGCCGTCTTCAACTTAGTGTACCTTAGGAGGAAGCGCATGGATAATCATCCCATGTCACAGATTTCAGTTTTTATTAAACTCAGGGAGGTAAGTGACTTGCTCAAGGTCACACAAACGGTCAGGGCAGGGGTGGGACTGGAACCCTGAATCATCTGGTTTGGTATCACTCCTTCACACTACAACAAATGCAAAAAAGGACTTCTTTGTTTTGGGTGACTTTGACAGAAGGTATTTTAGGAAAATTCTTATCTTCTGAGAGGTACTAAGCAATATGGTTACAGGAAACACTGGCTCCAGAGGAAAACATATCGGGGTTCTAATCCTGCCTCCACTGAGTAACTCTGGGCCAGCAGCTTGAACAGTCTGAGCCTCAGTGTCCTTAATTTAAAAAGAGGGTAATACTTATACCAGCCTCTTGGGATGGTTATATTTTTTTGTTTGTTTTATTTGCTGGGCAGTATTAGGGTTGTTGTAAAAATTTAATGGGATAATACAGAACTTAGCTCTGAGTCCTATGATTGCTAAACAGGTAGGACAAGGCTGGGGGTGTACAAGGCCCTGGGTTCAAGCCCCAGCATCATAAAAAAGGAAGAAAAATAAGAAACAACTCTGCCCCAACACGGTGGTGCACGCCTGTAATTCCAGTGGCTCCGGAGGCTGAGGCAGGAAGACTGTGAGTTCAAAGCCAGCCTCAGCAATGGCAAGGTGCTAAGCAACTCAGTGAGACCCTGTCTCTAAATAAAATTCAAAATAGGGGTGGGGATGTGGCTCAGTGGTCGAATGTCCCTGAGTTCAATCTCCAGACTCCCCCTGACCAAAAAATGAAAGAAATCACTCAGAGAGGATAATTGTTATTACTCTTTCTCTATGTAGAATGAAGCTGGGCTTGACCAGAATGACCTGACTCTCTAGCTCCCACCGCTGGCCTGTTTTGGGGAATATGATTGACCAACTCTAAGGAAGGGACTCTGCCTGGCAGACAGTCTGGGGCCCTAAACCTCTGGGCTGTCCTCCATGGTAGACCAAGGCTCCTGGCCCTGCCTTGGCCATGCATCTGGTCTCATCCCTGTATAGTAACCTCAGTGTCCCTCCTTACTTCCCCAGGGGTGTGGGGAAGGTGAGTTGCTGACAGTGTCACACACCCTGCCCAGGACACAAACCCAGATGTCAAACCAGAGGTGTGCAACCAAACTCTGCACCCAGCACTCCCAACATCCTCCGTGCTCTGTGTCTGCAGCTGGTTCCTTGTTTGGCCAACATTTATAGCCATGGTCCCTTCTGCACCAGGGCCTCGGCTGGACATTGGGTAGCCTGAAGGAGACTGTCCCAAAGCAGCATACATCACAGGAACACAGAGGCACTGAGGCAGGGGGAAAGGACTCCTTTCATGACCCTGGAACTCAGAGGAACCCAAAGAAGGTTTCACTGTGAGAGCAACGCTCATGAGTATACCAGAGCTGGGAGATCACCAGGCTCTCATATATCAGAGCCCGAGAGATTGAGGGGAAGCAATTTCATTAAGGTGGAGTCCAAGGGCTCCCTTCACAATTACCAGAAAAGCCTGAGAAATGCAGATTTATCAAACCCACCTCAGATCTGCTAGGTCTTAATAAGTTGCCCAGGCCGGCCTCAAACTTACAATCCTCCTGCCTCAGCCTCTTGAGTTGCTGAGATTACAGGCGAATGCCACCATGCCTGGCTGCTACATCCTAATCTATGGAACTGCGGCCTGAGATTCTCCATCTTTAACAAGCACACCCCAACCCCAAGGGATTCTTAAGAACTCTAACATTTGAGAATTATTGTGCATCCATAAGCCCATACTAGTGACAGGGAAACTGAAGGCCAAAGAGGTGGCGCAACTCACCTAAGGTCACACAGCAGCAGAGCAAACCTGAAAATTTGGCTGACCTCCCCATGCTCTTTCCCCACTCTACTGCAAGGGTAATGCCACAGTGTGTGTCTCTGTGCCCTCTCTCTCCTTGAGAGTCCCTCATACCGCCCAGGATGAGGACACTCACTGCCGCACAAACTCCCATCTGCCAAAGCTGTTCCTTCAAGTGATGGTTGGGTTTTTTTAATTTATTTTTTGAGTTTAAAAAAGAAAAATGGACGTGCTCCTTGTCCTCCAGGGCCAGCATCTGTCCCATTCCCTCTCAAAATAGCTGCTATTTGCTCAGGGCTGGAGAAGTAAAAAGTTTTGCTGGGAGACAGCAGAATCGCAGCGTCGGGAAGTGGGTCTCCAGCAGGGTGCGGGTGGCAGCTGCGTGGGCGGCGGCGGGCCCACAGCTGACTCCTCTAATTTCTCGCTTTTACGCAGAACAATTCGAGGCTGTTCTTTGCCTGCTATTTTGATGTGAAGGATCCTTCCCTTCCCTGAGGGGGCTGCGATGCTGGGAAGCAGGAGCTGGAGTTGCTCTAACTGGTCCAGGGGGGCTGAGTGGCCCAGTGCGGCTGCCAGGGGGACCCCAGACCCCTCTTTCCCTGCTTCCCTCTCTGGCCCCCATAGCCCAGCCCTGCTCTGATGGCCTCTTTAGCCGATTTTCTTTCCAGCCCCAAGACAAATTACTCCATGCCCTTGTTCTCAACCATTACCCCCCCTCGCCGTGACCCCCAAATTTCCCTCTGTGTTCCACAACCTCTGGGACCCTGGCTCCGAGCACCTGTCTCTCTCCTGGGGTCCTCTGCCACACCCCGGCCTCTTTGCTGTTCCTCATACACGCCAAGCCCGGCTCCCATCCCAGAACCTCTGGACTTGCTTTTTCCCGAATTTAGATGGACTTACTCTTTCACATAATTGAGGACCCTTCAAATGTCACCTCCTTAGAGACACCCTTCCTGATCACCCTATCTTAAGTATCCCCTTAAGTACTACCTCCCAGCTCTCTGCTTTTCTCTAGACCATGAACCACTGCCTCAAGTTATCACTGACATACGTATCTTCTCTTCTGTCCCTGGGGATCTCTTGCCCATATAAGCTCCCTGAAGGAAGGGGATTTGGTCCATTTTGTTTCTTGCTATCAACAGTGCAAACGGCAGGCTCCATTTGTGACAAAGATGTCTTTTTTTTTTTTTTTTTTTTTTTTGGTACTGGGGGTTGAATCCAGGAGTGCTTCACCATTGAGCTACATCCCCAGCCCTTTTTATTTTGAGACAGTGTCTCACTAAATGCTGCCAAATTTGGCCTCAAATTTCAATCCTCCTGCCTCAGCCTCCCGAGTGGCTGGGATTACAAGCATGCACCACTGTGCCTGGCTCACAGGAGATGGCTTCCTCCGTGGTTCATCAGCTGTCACCAAGACCAGCGCAGCAGCCTCCCAACTGCTCACCACCAGCAGTCTCTCTCCCCCAAGTTCATCACCCACACAGGGAAGGGTGCTCACTCTGAAAAGCAGATCTGCTCAGGACACGGATCCATACCTCCCCATTTTCACCTCAGCCTCCTCACCCATGATGCCTGCCTGTGTCCAGCCACATCTGTAGCTTTTCAAACATCCTGTCTAGCAGGCTTTCCCTCCCAAGAGACAGTCACTGAAATGATTTGTTAGAGATTTCCCAAACTATGTATATAAAAGTAGTTTTTTGTTAAAATTCTATTTCTGCCTATGTAATACAACTAGAGACTGCAAAAAGGCACAGAGTACTTTAATGAAAACGGTTCCCCCCTCTGTTCACCCCTCCTCTCTCCTCTGTCCTACTCCCCAGAGGTGACCACTGTTAATGTTTTTAACTATTTATTTGGGTGATTATTTCTATAATTCTAAAGTATAAGCTATTTCTTGATGTATGAATTTTAGAGAGTATTTAGAGTATTTACTGAAGTTTGTATTTGGTTAAGTAAGGTTATGCAGCAGTAACAAACAGTCCCCAAATCTCAGTGGCTTCACAGATTGAAGGTTTATTTCCTACATTGCAGAATCCACTCAACATTGTCAGGACCTCATATTCCAAGAGGCAATTCCAGGTTGCTTCACTTTTGTGACTCTGCCATCTTGACCCACAGTCTCCTTGATCATCCCAGAGGGAGCAGAGAGGCATCTAAGTATTCCTCTAACAGCAGCAAGGTACTTCCACCTTGGGCCCACCAGACAGAAGTAGTCCTATAGCCGTGCCCACCTGCTCGAGGCGGAGACATAAAGTTTTCTATGTGCAAGGAGAACCAAGTATCTGTGAACACAGGAATGTCCAGCACAGTTCCATATTATGGTAGACCCAACTCTTCCTCTTTCCATTCTCCAATATAGTTTTATCACAAATTTTAGCTAAATCAATATTCAGGATTAGTTAGCCTGGTAAGGTGGCACATGATTATAATCTCAGCTACTCAGGAGGCTGAGACAGGAGGTCCAGGAGTTGAGGCCAGCCTAGGCAACAAAGTACCCTATCTCAAAAAAATAATAATTCAGGGTTTACATTCTTTTCCTCTTCTTCTTCTTTTTTTTTAGTTGTTGATGGACCTTTATTTATTTATATGTGGTGCTGAGAATTGAAGCCAGTGCCTCACACATGCTAGATAAGCACTCTACCACAGAGCTACAATCTCAGCCCTCCTCTTTTTTCTTTATTATCTCTTCTTTGTTATTTATTTATTTATTTACTTACTTACTTCTTACTGAGACAGAGTTTCACTATATTGCCCAGGATGGTCTTGAATTCATGGACTCTAACAATATTCTAACAATACTCCCGCCTCAGCCTCCTGAGTGTCTGGAAGCGTGCACCATCATGTCCGACTTTTTTCTCCATATTTTTAGGTTTTACATTCTTAAGATTCCATAGATATTATCCTTCCTTTTCTGAGCCAAAGAGTATACTATAATTACATTTGTTTTATAATGTAGACTTTTATTTTCCTGGAGTTAATAATTATCTCATTTTTCATTTGCTTAGTTCTGGGCACATATTTCCAACTCTCTTCCAACACACCAACAGATCCATAAAATGCCTTCTCTGTGCAGGGACACGATCCATACCTTTTGTTTTCCTAGTGATCTGTCTGCTGGGCCTTTCTTTATTCCTCC